GATGCTTTTCCTTTACGTGTTGACTAAAGTTTTTCGTATTGACGTAACAAAATTGAAAGTTGCAAGATTGGCACTTTGCTTCAAAATCTTCTAATTCATAATTTTGGCGCAGTTTTTGCATACTTTTTATTGATATACTCAAATGCAATTCTTTCGGATGACTTACAATTATATGATGGGACACTTTAGAATCAATAAAAATGGTTATGTTTTTGCAACAAATGGTACACTTAAACTTTGTAGTGTCATCACTTTTTATAAAATATTTCATTACCCAATGGTCACGTATGAAGTCATGTAGTTCTTCAGAATGCTGTGACAGATGTGTCTTTGTAGATTCAAGAGTAGTCAGAAAGAATTCACCACACATGAGACATTCTGAGTGCAATATGTTTTCATCAAAAGTATATTCATACGCATACTTAAAATATATCCATGGTTTTTGATTTTCGTCTGCTTGTTCCCATTCAGATAAGGATTTATGCCATTTTTTTACGTGCATAGAAAGGTGTTTAATAAAAATATATTTAACTTTATAGGTGCAGTATTTGCATTTTGCTTCAAAAGACGACAGTTTAGTATAATATTCCCACATGTTTTCTTTAACTTCTATAGTTTTTAAATTCATGACGGATTTTGACAAAAGAACTATGTCGCGTGTTTTTTGCGCATTTCTTAATTCTTTCGAATGTTTACTTACTATATGTATATTTAAATTTTGATTGAGATAAATATGTAATTTCTGGAAACATTCGGTACATTGCGCTTGAAAATCGCTACCTCTCGTACAATATTTATATATCCATTTGTGAAGTACGTAATTCTTCACTTCGTTAACATGCTTGTGGTGTAGATGAGATGCTAAAGACTGAAAATCAGATCGAAAATTCTTACAACAGAGAAGACATTGTGAGGTGGAAGTATCGTTGTACTTGAAACATGTCCATGGCCATTCTTGTCGTCCTTTACGTGTTTCTTCGTAATTTATTATATGATCATGACTTTCTTTTATATGTATGCGGATGTTTGAACGGACGTAAACATATTTTTGTCTGCAAAACTTGCATTTTGCTTCGTAATCCGACACTTTTTCGTAATATTGCCACACGTTTTCTTCCGTTAAAATAACTTTCGACATTGTGTCCGTTTCTCCATACAGAACACAGATAACTGAATACGGTACAAGAGGACGAAGAAATTCGTATGGTTATCCTTACAGAACACAGATAACTGAATACGGTACAAGAAGACGAAGAAATACGTATGGTTCTTCATTTGAATGTAAATATTGATACGTCAGTCAAAACTATGATGTTCAAATCATGAAGAAACGCTGTAACATCATGCCTAGTTGGTATAGCAACTACTACCCCGCGAAAAAGATGTTACATCATATCATTTACATAAATAATATTTGAGAAATATTGCAGAAATAATTATTTATGTCTTTAATAAAACTGTTCTCAGATAATAATTATATCAAAGAAATACGCATTATTTACCGAATTTATTAATACTGCTATAAATATTAATACATTAATTAAAAAACATAAATATGCGTATGTAGTTCTCTACTCTGTAATGTATATATTTTTACATTTGAATGTATATGCATGCAAAAAGATAAAAGTTAATTGATACGTGTCTTATTGATTGCATTCCTTTTTTCTTTACCTGGAGTTTTGTGGTGAAAAACAAAGTAACATAAAATCGAAAACACATATACTAGAAAGGCTCCAATATGATAACAATCAAGAAATATAATAGAAGAGTATTAAGAGCCGTCGCAGGATGTTAGTGCTAAATTTTTAATTTTTCGTAAAAATTAATAAATTAGTCCACAAGAGACAGTTAGATTGTACACCGATCTTAGATCGAGATACCTAAAACGTACGAAATTTTAAGTACATTGTTCTCATATATCGAGAAATTTAATGTGCATATAGGAATTATTGGAAAAAAATGGAAGAGAGAGAAAAAACATCCTGCGACGGTTCTTAATGCTCTTCTATTATATATCTTGATAAAATCAAAAATTTAATATAATTATAAATAACTATTTCTCAAAAAATCATATTCAATAAATATTGTAAATTAAAAACATCTAAATAAAATCGCAATAAACTTGTAACCTAATTAATTGTCAACTTATTAATCTGTAACGTTATATTATATTGGATTGTAATAAGTAATTTTGAATTTTTTAATGAATAATGTTATTATTTTTTTTTTGCATATTTATCTGGATGAAAGATAATAATACGAGTACAATTGATCATAACTTTGACAAATAATTATTTAATTTTCATGTTAGTACAAATGCGTTTTGCCAGACGTGTTAAGTAGACAAATTTATTATTAGCAAAAATTGGATAAGCTTTTGATTATTGAATAAATTTAATATTATTTTCTGTTATTACGATTAGATCAGAAGGTATAAAAAGACGCAAAACAAACTCATCATAAAAATATTACATTAAATAATACTTTTAAATCGTTTTATAAATTATATAAAGAAACCATCTGATATTTGTTTCCAAATGCCATTTTGTTACTAAAGACTTAATTTCTATCATGATTAATTTTAAAAACATGCGTGTCGTCTGTTATATTATATAACACAATTCTCGATCAAATACAACTAGAAGAATTAAAAATTGACATATTTTACTGACAATTAATGTACCTTTTACTTTCGGCGATCTCTACAGAAGTTATTATTAATAAATTGAAGTATATATAACAAATACATGATCAATCAATTTTATAAGAAAATAAAATAAAAATAAAATATTTTTAAATGCTCTTAAATAAATCGGCGATAGTTTTATGGTTACAGAAAAGACGATAACTAATTCGTAAAATTGTCTTACTTCATAAACTTATAAACATAGTTTATAAATTAAAAACATAGTACACATACATAAACTTTGTAAACGTACTTATATGAGCGTATTTATATAAGCACTAATACTTGTTATTTGTGTGACACATAGATTTATAAACATATTTATAACTTATAAAAGCAAAACAAATTATACGTCAAAAGACATGCCACTTTTTTCGTGTACTTCAAATCATTTGAATCGTCAAAATTAAATTTTCCGTTATGGTTGTGATGCTTTTTGAACGTCGTTATCATCATTCCATTGTCAAACTCTGGATAAACCTATATAAATATTTTAATATTTATTAACAACAAATTTTTTGGTTATTTCTCTTCTTATTAAATATTTATTAAATTAAATGCGATTCAAAAAAGTAAAAAATAAATTATACATGAAAATATATACAATAATATTAATAAAACATATTGTCACCTGTTTTCTTCAGTTTGGTTGGCTTCCTGATGATCCAGCTATGTCACACATTCTCTGTGTACTTGTCAGCCTATTCGGATGTGTATCTTCAATGTGACGATCAAAATACCATAACGGAACGTCAAGAGATATTTTGCTCTGACAAAAATGACATTTTACTTCAAAATCACCAACTTTTGTACAGCAGTTCCATACCCAGCCGCAGTCGACAATGTGTTCCTTTTTGTCAGAAAAGTGATTGAATAAGTGGTTTTTTAAAGTGGAACGATTATTCGAATGTTCTGTGTTGCAGAGACGACATTGTAAAATAGTTGAATTAATATAGTTGAAACACTTGAATTGCCAATTTTCCCCCCATGCTTCTTCGTCATTATTTATTTCTAGATGCTTTTCCTTTACGTGTTGACTAAAGTTTTTCGTATTGACGTAACAAGAATTATAGTTGCAAGATTGGCACTTTGCTCGAAAATTTTCTAATTCATAATTTTGCCGCAGTTTTTGCATATTTTTTATTGATATACTCAAATGCAATTCTTCTGGATGA